CGGAAGTTATGTCCACAGATTGCAACATGAGTTTACCTTCATTCCACGTTCTGTTGGCTCTTTACCGTTTTTTACCACAGAGCCGGCAGAAGGTCATCGATTCTCTCCTGTTGCTACAAAGGGTAATCCATTTTTTTCCAGACAGTTTCTAATTCATTAAGTCTCCCAAATGGTTAAGGTTAAGGTGAATACCATCACGATAAGACGCGACAAACCCATCCCCGGAATCGAGTCATGCCTTTCAATAATTTCACCGTCGATTTGCTTTGATCCTATTATATTGGCATCATTATTTACCAACTGATGCTGCTGCCGCTGTTGTTGCTGTTGGTGATGATGGAGCTCACAGCTCAACAAACAGCATCAGACAGCAAACAAAAAAAAATGATACCATTAGCAGAAGCCTTTCTCCGTGACGTCGTGTGATGGTCATTAGGCATGCCTTGGAAAATTTATCGGAAGGGCATGCCTCGTGCATTAGGCGAGCATCTCCGTTAATCTTTTTTCGATTTCATGGGCTCGAGAACTGAACGGAGGTCCACCGTTTATCGCTTTCAGCTTCCCGGTCATTAATAAAAACAAAAGGAGAAAATACGGACGATAATTGCATTAGGAGTCATTATCCGTTTGGGAGTAGAGAATCAGGGTAACCAGAAGGAGGGAAAAAAATTGACAACGACAGCGTGGAACATGTTCGGTTTCTCGTTCATGATTGATGGATTTTCTGGGTGGGGTGGGAGCCCCGAAAACGGTCATTATCGGACCAGGTTGGAAGAAACAAAGAATTCATGGCCAGGAGCAAAATTTGTGTGTGAGTGTCCCCTGATGATATGGAAGCGACTTCGAAAGCCTGGTACGTGTGATAATTTATTCTGTTCTCGTCGTGGGAATCTAGAGACAGGTAAAACTAGTTGTTGAATCATTGAAAAGCGTTTATCAAGCCTATCTAAGTTAAGTAATGTAATCTTTATTAGTTATTTAAGTGAATTGAAAGTGGTTGGAAATTTGAATCGAACCTAAGCCCTCGCCGATGTACCCTAAAGTGTCTACATGGGGCCTCTCTTAGCTCAGTCGGTAAAGGCGCAGCTACAAATCAACACCATGCTGGAGGTGGCTGGGTTAAATTCCCGGTCCGGTCTAAGAATTATTCGGGTTGTGAAATTTCTCGACTTCCCTGGGCATGGAAGTATGATTGGATTTGTCACGCAATTATACCAATGCAAAAATGGTGGAAGTGCATCTAGAACACTAAGTTGAGAGCACGCAATAAGGGCCCATGCATTAATTATGTCACGCTAAATCGAGCAAATAATTACCCCCTCCCCCCTATCGTGACGTTTTTTTTATACCTAATTCATTGCTTGTCACAAAATCTTAGACCCCCCCCCTCCCGCCTTAGAGCGTGACATAATATATGCATCAACCCTAAGCTAATATGAGATTTGCAATAATCTTGAAATGCGAAGAAGAAGAAGAAGAAGAAAATGAAGAAAAAGAAGAAGAAGAAGTGTCTACGCGAACTTTGGGGAAGTTTAATGAAGTTCCGTGGACTGCAGGGCAGTTCCATGTACTTCAAGTAAATTTCGAAAACTTAGATGAAGATCAGAGGAACTTCATAACAGTTCAATTAACTTCAAAAACATTTAAGGAAATTTACAAGAACTTTGAGAAAACTTCTGCTAAATTTAGAGATCCTTAGGAAAGATCAATGAGCAGTGCGAAAGTTCTAAGAACATCAAGGCAGTTCCAGGAGCGTTCGAAAAAATTGAGAATTTTTGTCCTATAGTTATCTTCAAACAAAAAATACATGAACTTTTCAGAGTCCAACGAGTGTCAGGAGAGTTGAATTTTGTAGAACTTTAGGTAAATTTAAAAACTTTATGTTAGTTTCATTAACATCACAAAAAAAGCGGGATCCTTCAAGAAGTTCTGACATTATAGGGTGTCCCAGGAAGTATAAGCACACTTTGAGCTTGCCGCCATTTCGACCACTTTTAAGTTTATCAGCTGATCATCGATGTGTGTTGTTGTTTACTTATTCCTCAAGAGGTTTGCGTGTGCATTTGTTTTTTACAAAATCATCAACATGTGAGGCATTTCCCCGGAAAAGCGCAAACAGATCGTGCACAAATGGTGCACTATTCCCAACCTATCAGTAAGAAAGTTGGCGAAAATGGAGGAAGTAAGTATCGGAGCAGTCTAAACCGCCATCCGGAAGTTCGGCGATTAAGCTTTCTTTGATGACACGTCAATACCTGAACGTAAACCGGGACGGGTGGACCAGAAGATTGCCAAGCTTTCGTCAATAAGAAAAGTGCCTCTGTTCGAGATTTGGTCAAAAAAAAAAACTGAGAACATCGAAGAGTAACGTCTAACGTGCCAAAGCAAGAAACGGGCTGAAAACGTTCAAGAAGCAAAAGAAGCTGAAACGGAGTCAGAAACAAGCCGCATCCGTCAAAAAGAGTGCTCGGAAGCTATATGAAACATCTGTCAAATTTGACTATAAGACGGAAGCTTTTTTTTTTTTGTTCAATAATTTATTTGATAAGGCTCAACCGAATTAACTTTACAGAGCAGAGGATTCTTGGTCACTATACAATACATCTTAAAACTATAGTCAAAAGGTACAACACAATAAACACTTTATCTTCCACCATCCACAAAGCCTCTTCCATCAGAACTGGAGCCGCTTCCAGTGGTTTCATTGTATGGCAGTTACGCCATCGTGGGGCAAAGCGCTTCCATTGCAGTAATGGACGCAAAACGTGGTCAACACTCACACACTCATCACGAAACGGTTGCTTTCCAAAGTCGACGACGCATCAACCGAAAGAACTGCTGATGAAGAACGATGAGCAGGACCACACACAATGGTTGCTGCCGAGAAAACAGACGATCGCGTGGCACACATAGAGAGTGGCTTGCTTTTGACGACAGCCGAGTGAACACTGATAAGACGGAAGTTGACGATGCCGAAAAATTCAGTAAGGCCATGATTTGGCAAGAAATTTGTGAATGTGACAAGTTGTCAAAGTCTTTTGTGTCGAAGGAGACGATGAACACTGAAATTTACGTTCGGGAGTGTTTGGATCGGTGTCTGCGGCCCATGATGTGTCAACATGATGGCCCAGTACTATATTGGTCCAATTTGGTGTCAATGCACTACTCGAATGAAACGGTAGCTTGGTACAAAGCAAACAAAGTGCAAAACGTGCCAAAAGAGATGAATCCTCCGGATTGTCCGGAGCCCCGGTCAACCGATACTTGTTGGGCCCTTTCAAAGGGAGATCAACGGAAAAAAAACTTTAAGGCAGCGAATTCAATCGAAGAATTTGTAAAAGGTTGGACAAAAAAGGCAAAAATTATCGCCAAGAAATCTATGCTGAAGCTCATGGGCAGCAGTGTCAGATAAATAGTTCGGTCCTTGGTACACGATGAAAGGAACTGTGGATTATTGTCATCCAATTGAAAGAGAATACTACAGAGAACATACATAACAAATAAAAATTTGAGTTCATTATCATAACGCTGATTTATTCAAACAATAATCTGTAATTATACTTTCTGGGATACCCTTTAATATCCCAAGCCACATTGCAAGCTTTAAATATCGAGATTTTAAAACATTCTTCAAGCCTAAATTATGGTCTTTAAAGCCCTAATAAAACCAGAATTGCTACTTTGGATTGAAATTACAATAATTACATGGATATTTTAAAACTTCCGAAACTAGTTTCGAAAACTTCAGTAACATCCATAACTTTAAGCTTTAAGAGGAAGCTATAAGATCCTTAATGATGCGTTCCAATCGTTTCAGAACAGTTTCAAAGATTTTATGATAATTTCAAGAACTTTTGCTCAGCTCCATTAAATTCAGAAAAAAAATAAAGGAAGTTTGCAAAATTTGCCAAAACTTCAATTTAGTTCAAAGATCTTAAGCATGAGCATGAGCATGATTGACCACCTGAGCATGCCAATAGACGTTACCTGGGACTAGCAATCATCCTCAATGTGTAAATACTGGTGATCTAAAACTAGACATTACCAATGCACACCACGTCCGAATGCTGGTCAAAAGAGGTATGCGTAGCAATATGTTGAAATAATACTCACTATAATGAAAGCCGAGAGCACCTCTACACTTCCCCGAAAAATCACTGGGATGAGGAATAAAAGGGTTGGGATTGCAGCGGGAATCATTTTGGTAATCGATAAGCTGAATTGATGTCCTAACAAATCAATAGCGCGCAGGAGTTTGGGTTTGATCCCACGGTATTCTGCTCTGTAAGCAAAATCGATCACCACTAGGCCACCAAGCTCCGTTTACCACACAACAATTATGATCAAGTTACCGCTCAACTTGTTGTTACTTGGTTTCGATCCCGACGGTGACGTTACCGATGACGACACCAACCACACTTGAGAAAGAATTGATATGGATGCCCAATCAATACGTCACGCTACTAACGGTGCAGTGGAACGTGTTTAAAACCGACAAAAATCATGGTTGAATCCTTTCAGGGAAGTTATTTCACTTTTCACTTCTTGTAGTAGCCGCATATGGAGTGGATATAATTGCTCTTCCGCAACGGACAACTGCTTATGCTTGTACTTAATTTCTTCAACTAGCCAGATCTTTTTAGCACTGTTGGCTGCCTTTTCACTTGCTTCACTACTGGTAGGTGGTTTAATGTTGATAAATTTTGGCATGAGGCCTTTTCGTTTACAGCGGGTGAGGAATTGGATGTGTAATTGTAACATTCTCTTCTTTGTAACCAATCGGCCATAAAGGCGAAAGCACTTTGAGGTTGTAGCCTGCATTTCACTTTTTATGTTGTTTTTGTGCTAACGTAAGAACTCCACGACACACATAACACGCGACGCGAGACAAGACACAACACTTATCGTTCTTACAACATTTAAAACGGATTAAAAATTACCTTTCTGTCGACCGGTTTCGGGCGCGATGCTGCCCATCTACGGGACAATGTCCGTAGATTATGGACAGGGAAGATTACGACTCTCGCGTCCGTGCAATGATCGAAACCGGCCCGTATGAAGAATATAAATTCAAAAACGGCAAATCCAAAGACCCGCTGAATGTGATGATCGACGAAGCGAATTTCGCTCAGCAGAATGTAGCGCGTTTAATGGGTGAAGAAAAACTCATACGGAAATTTCACGTTCCCAACCCGACGGTGGCATCGCTGTACTGTCTACCGAAGATCCACAAGAATCCAGTTGGAATGCGACCCATTTCATCAAACATCCGTACACCCACCGAAAAATTGGCAGCTTGGCTGGTAGAGGAGATGAAGCAGTACCCCGTCACACACGGCAAAAGTGTGAAAAATTCTGTAGATTTCGTACAACAGCTAGAAGGATGCAAGGTAAGACGAGGTGAGATCTTGGTATCGTTTGACGTTGCGTCACTATTTCCAAGCGTACCAATCGCCGACGCCTTGAGAAGCCTGCGCCGACATTTAGAACGTAGTCGGGCGCCACACCATCACATTCAGGCCTACCTTCTAGTGGCTGAGGTGTGTATGAATCAGAATTTTTTCACATTTAGAGGGAAGTTCTATAGGCAAACGTTTGGTCTTAGTATGGGTAGCAAACTTTCACCCCTTCTGGCGAACGTCTTCATGAACGACTTTGAGGTAGATGCTGAAAAGCAAAAGTTTTTCCCTCGAGTCTGGCGGCGCTATGTTGATGATATCTTCGCACCGGTGAAGGAACGCTACCTAGAGCAGACACTGAACATGCTGAACTCCCGCCACAGCTCAATTAAGTTCACAGTAGAAAGAGAAGTGGATGGAAAATTGCCCTTTCTAGATTTGATGGTCACCAGAAAGGAGGACGACACGTTGAAATTCGGTATTTACCGAAAACCGACATCCACTGATCGATACATCACCTCGGACTCCAATCACTTCGGCGCTCAAAAGCAAGCCGCCTTCCACTCTATGGCACACCGTCTCTATAATGTACCTATGGAGGAAGAAGAGTTCGCTGAAGAAAAGGAACGTATCTACAAGGCGGCGGAAGTAAATGGATACGAAAAGGAGTTCACCAGCAAAATTTTACAAAAACACAAACGCAAGAAACGCCTACAGAACATAACCACACTACAGCCGGAGAGGGATGAAGCTAAAAGGATTAGCCTACCATTTTATCCAAAAGTCACAAACCCAATCAAAAACACACTCAAACGTCAAGGACTACACATAGTACACAAAAGCGACAACACTCTACGCGACCTGTTGTGTAACCTTAAGGACAAGATTCCGGCGGATGAGCAGTCTGGAATTTACCGAATTCCCTGCCAGGATTATCCCTCGGTGTACATCGGACAAACTCGTCGCAAAGTAAAAGTTCGCCTTAAAGAACACAAAAATGCTGTCGACAACAATAAATCAAACGATTCAGCTGTGGCAGCGCACACGACGGCCTCCAATCATCAAATTGATTGGAAAAGTGCGAAGCTCATCAAAACAGTACGAAAACCCTCACACCTCAATGCATGGGAATCAATGCATATCAACAACACACAGGAACCACTGATGAATGAAGATGATCCTCCCATCACATCATCTTTGTTCAACTTGACGAAGCTGAAAATACAGTAACAACTCTCTTCTCTGGACGTCTACACAACAGCGTAGCAATCCTATTGTAACCAGTCGGACATTGTCCCGTAGATGGGCAGCATCGCGCCCGAAACCGGTCGACAGAAAGGTAATTTTTAATCCGTTTTAAATGTTGTAAGAACGATAAGTGTTGTGTCTTGTCTCGCGTCGCGTGTTATGTGTACCAAGGAGGTTCTTATCTAGCGTCCAAAACGTCAAATACAACAAGGAAAGCTTTTGCAGCTGAGTTATTGACGAAAAAGAAAGTCGATGAAGATAATCGATCTATGCAGGTAGGACCTTTTGAAATGTTTATGTAGAATTCTAAATAGCAAAACTTGCCAAAGACTTATCTGACGTTTGTGAAATGCACAAGTATTAGTGCAGAACTCGGGGTAAATTATAAGTATTAGTGCAAGAAAGCCTTTGAATTTGAATAAATTCTACTAGACTAGATCTTTGGTTTTCTAATGCAGTGGTTCATCAGAGAGGGGAAGCTTAGTAATCCAAATCGCCTGCCCATGGCGCCTTTCTATCGTGGCATGAACTAGCAACGCCGGCCATAAACCTACCGTCTCCAATACTGCACTATAAAGCATGCAATTAAGCCTTCCTACGAACAGCAAGGTGCAAAAAGTAGCCAAGGGGAGCGAAAATCGATCAATATTACTTAAGACCTAATGCATTGTTAGTTTTTCGAAGGGTATACACTGTAAATGAATACGCCTCATATTTGATTCCCGATTACTCAAACTCGCAATTTCAAATATGATTAAATGTCACTCAAATACGAGTGGCATTTAATCACATTTCATAAAAATTTACTCATTCTACGAGTGATCTACGCTTTTGGGAGTTTGAGTGAACGGTATTCAAATATGAATCAGTCTCACTTATCGTGAAGTTTTTTTCCGGGAGGATTGACTGCACGCTTATTCTAAACAACCTAAATTTGAGTAGGATCTACTCATATCCGTCAGAAGTTGGGCTACCGAAAATTGAGCAAACAAAGTTACAACTGACAAGATGACAAATGAACAACATCGTTTGGATTCAGGTCGATGTTTTCCATTCGTCATCAGGCTAGTCTAAACTTTGTTTACTCAATTTGGTGAACGCTATTTTTGACGAGATGCTTCTCAAATTTGGATTGTTAAGAAGTAGCGTGTGTATCGTGTTGACCCTTCCTTTCATGCAAAGGTTAACATTTTGCTTACGCGATTTTTCAGTGGCGTGAAAGGATAAGAAACGATGCACACGAAATTGGACATTTGCTTATGGGGGTTTCCTATAGGAGTGAACAGTTGCAAAGTCGTCGTCAACGCGAATAATTTCACAAATAAGTTATCAAATAAAGTTTGTAGGCCATGATTAGGAACCAGCATCAAAATAACGCCCTTAATATTTGGTTCATAGTTGCAAAGCGCTAAGAGCATTTAATCTGGTAAATTAGTGATAAGAGTGAATGTGATCTTACAAAAAGATAAGTCGGTCTCTGTTCCGCAATCTAGTGCCAATCACCGACGGCAGTCGAATGTGCAGTAAGGCAGCTTCCACACCTGCGTAGGATATCGCACCCATTCAATTCAACCACTAAGGGCCGGGACCAAGGGCTTTACTTCCCTTCCGAAGGAAGACGTGACCAGAGATTTTTATGCCTCAGAAAAATCCCACCGACCTCGGTTGGGATTGAACCCAGACCCATTGGAGTGAGAAAGCAGTCACGCTTACCAATACACCACCGCTGCCGGCAACGCGCCTAGAAATCGAAAAATATGAAAATTTCACTAAGCTTTTTCCTTGAAAAAGAGCAATACAAGAGTATATACAATTTGTCCCAAAAATATGCAGATAATTTACGAATTACAATTTCACAGCAGAGGTGGTATTAGATTTTCATTACTATTGCTAAGTTAATGCGTTATTTCATTGATAGGCCGAAGATAGGGGTTAGGCTGCCCCCTTAATCGTGAAAAAAGTTGGACTCTAATATAAAGAGAGAAAGAGAGAAGGATTAGTAATTTCCTTTAAATTCCACTACCTTATTTGCTTATCCTTGACAGATACGCGTAATTCGTCTACAACGTGCAGACTTCTTCAGTGTCTTGTACTAATACTCTAACCAATTTTCGATATTGTTTGTGTTTTGAATCCAAGCTTTTGTCTTGATTTCTTTAAAATTGGATTTAAATAACACAATGCCACCAATCAGTTTAATACTCACATGAGCAAAAAGAGATGATTATTTCTGATTTATTTCAACTTAGTTATTTGCATCCATGACGGATACGATTTTTTACTACAATATACAGTCTTCATCAGTGTCATTCTCACTAAAGACCTATTGAAATCTAAACCTCTTATGTACACATCCCCTAGGTAAACATGTGGATCATGTCTGGATGAGGATTAGGTATAAAAATGAAAGTACAACGTGAAGATTCGAAACCTACCTAACTAATTAAAATTCCGATACAACAGGGAAGCTCTGAGAACTCCAGGATAGACCAGACTATCTGGGAAGTTTGAAGATCTGTAATTCTAAGTTCCGATAAATTTAGAACAGTTCCATAAACTTCAGTAAAATTTCAAGAACCTTTTTGAAGATTCGGGAATTTTAGAGAAGTCCAGAGAACTTCAGACATCTTCAGGGATGTTCCCTTATGTTCTTGGAATTGATCAGAGAACCTAAGGGCAGTTCATGTAATTTCAAAGAAATTGATGCAATGTTTATGAAGTTCCGTAAAACTCAAGGAGTTGTCTCTTGCCCTCTCGAGCTGGGTCTAAAGGTTGGCTTACTACTAGGCAATCTGGGCTACGCGACCGAACGAGAGTACTGTCACCTGATTAAATTTATGGAAACATTTCAACTGTTGTTCAAGATGGAAAGCTTTTATTGAGGAAAACTATTGTTTGGGAGAGTTGGTTTATTGAACCTACTACTATTGTTGGTGGGGGTGTAAAGTGGATGGTTTATTCTCTAAAAAGGTACCGGTAATGCGGATGATGATGGTTGGTGCTGAACATGGACGGCTTCGAAGACGATGGGCGAGCGCTACGAGTTCTATCGTGGTCAAAGTTGGCTGAGTGGCGGTGTGAGGAAGCGGATTCGTTGGCGCATGAATCCACTGTAGTTCCTCCCAGGCGTCTTCCCTCTTAGGCTTATATCGGCAGAGCCCAGGCAAGGCCAGAGTGACTCTGCCGAGAGGGGAACGTCTCCTTGGCGATTAGGGAGGATTCCCAAGACAAATTCCTTCCAGCCGATTATTTTTGGTCTGGCTTGAGGAAGGCTAGTTCCTTTACTTTAAGACCTAGCGTACCCTAGGAACTACTATTCCAAATCACGTGTGTGTCGGTTGATCTTGTCAACGGACAAAATGGCGGTGTTTACCAAAACGGTAACACAAAAGGTAATGTAAGGGCATCAGCTGTTAGCTTAAGCTTGGGCAGAGAACTAATTACCTGAATTGAGCTGTGGTGCAGCAAATCGTCACACTCAAATTCATTATTACCACCCACTTATTGTTTGGCTATTTTAAGCACTTTAACACCTTTCACACGCGAACGCCTGGATAGTTATGAAGAATGGCGGGTCGTTCGTGGGCTATTTGATCTCTGTCCCTTCACTTTTCTATCCCTCCATCCTATATCCCAATCCAAAAATCCTTTCTCCATTGTCCCGCCTGCATCTCTTTGTAATATTTGCACCCACTGTGTTGTAATCCTTCCCCACTTTACTGTGATACAATTCAAAGTTTAAACAATTTCCTACTAACAAACTGACAATATTTTAATATATAATATTATAATTATCCAACTAATCAATACCAAATAACTTATAAAAACGTGACAGTACATTAAACAAACATGCACAAACTAAAAATCTAATAATTCTTGTAACAGAGGTTACAGAGTTTCCGAAACGTCCAAAATCCCAAGATTTGGGATCCCTGATTTAGATTTTTTTTTTTTAGACCCCATTAAATTTCGAAAACGTAAGATGAGCATCAGAAAAATATGAGAACATGTTGAGGGAGTTCCATGATTGTCAAAACAGTTTAGAGAACTGCACAAAATTACGGGAATTTCAGCGAAGATCAGAGAACTTTCAAGCAGATCCATTAATTTCAAGAAAATTTGTAATACATCTATGAATTAATTTTCAAGGAAGTATAGAAACCTACAGAGAAGTAGTTTCATTATATTCAATCCCGATACTTTGAGGATGATCAACGATCTTCATAACAATGTCATTTACTAAAGGAAAGTTACAGGATTTCCATCAAATTATGGGCTATTCCGAGAATTTCACGATTGATGAGTTATCAGCTGTTTCTCGATTCCTGTGTGGCAAAAACGGCAAGAAAAGGGAAACATTAGTCGAAAGAGTATCAAGCATGAGACATTTTTATAGTTGAATCCATAAATTTGAGGTTTTCATAAATATAAAAGTCTCTCGCAGTAGATTCCTCTGACAGTTCAGTGCGGGCAAGTAATAATCATTTTGATTAAAAAAAACTGCAAGGGACAGCGCTATGGGGTTGTACGCAATGGTAATGTAGGGCTACGTGGTCTTATATAATAAATGTTATTTGTTAACTGCAGCAGGAGCTTGTGTTTTGTGTAGGAATAGGAATTTGAGCGGGGTTCTCTTTGTTTTCTCTTTAATATGACTATGATTGCCTGAGAAGAACCTTTTGATATGAATTTTAGATGGGACATGTTCAGAAATTTAGCTCTTTTGGAAAATCTTGCTGGCCCTGAAAAGGGCCAATGGTAATACAGACTTAAAGCCTTTGGTAGATGATGATGACGCGTAGGTAGCTGGATCAGCAAATCGGACCGGACAATCCCATATTCTTCGCTTCAATGATTAGACACTCGCTAAAGTCCCGGCCCTTCTGATGCTGGACAAGGGTTAAACTGATGTCAGCGACCGGTTGGAAGGCCTTTTTAGTTTTTCTCGTTAAACTCCTTCTCTCAACAAGTTGGTAATTTTA